GATTTGTGCTAGGGGTGTTGTAGTCGGGACTTGGTTCCTCGACTAGCTCTGTGTATGTTTGACCCCCTGTAGGATTTGGGGTAAGGTCAGGCCAACCTTGGGCATTGTGTGCCAGCTCTCTTGCGGGGAATGATTTGTTGGGATGCCCCCGGGTATCCTCCGTTGCTGGAGTGCTGTGTGATGTGTGTGGAAAGTGAGTATGCCCCCGGGGTAACTCCCTGGCTGGAGTAGGCGTGAGTGCCTGTTGTGTGGGTAAGCTCCATGACTTTCTTTTCGGAGCAATTGCAGAACCTTGGGACGAGCCGTTTGTGGCTCCCTCAGTGGCGATGGGCAGTAGCTCTTGCCCTTCCCTTTGCTCCAAAGGGTCCCCCTCCCCCCCTGGAAAAGACCCAGGAGTTTCAGCAGAAAAGTCCCGCCTAGAGCGGAGTTGGTCGATGTGCCGACGCAGGACACGACCGTTGTCCAGGGCAACCTCGTAGGAGAGAGGACCTGTGATCCTGGACACAGAAGCGGGGACCCATGTATGACCAGGCCCGTAATTGCGAGCCCAAACCGGGGCACCCACAAGTAGTTGTCTAGGTGCCCTAGGATGTGAGGTAGATGAAGGCAGTCTGTCCGGATGCAACCGGTCAAGTCTAGTAGTAAGTTGGCGCCCCCAACGAAGTTCAGCTGGACTTCTCCCTGTAGAAGTGGACGGTGTGGTGCGATAAGAAAGGAGAAAGTCAGCCAACCTGTGATGCCAGTCCCCGTAGGTGAGTCTCTTCAAGGCGTCCTTTGCGATGCGCACCATGCGTTCAGCCATACCGTTGGTGGATGGGTGAAAAGGCGCAGATGTGGCATGACGAATCAGGTTTGCCTGTAAGAAAGCTTGGAATTCGGAGGAGGTGAATTGAGGGCCGTTGTCGGACACAATGACATCTGGCAGCCCGTGTGCAGCAAAAATCCCCCTCAGTACCTGAATAGTCTTTGCAGTGGTGGTGGACGAGACAGGCACAACCTCAAGCCATTTTGAATGGCTGTCAACAAGGACCAAGAAGAACTGGCCCTGAAAGGGCCCAGCGTAGTCAATGTGCACCCTAGACCATGGGGACTGTGTTTCCTCCCATTTATGCACAGGAGCTTGGGGCATCTCTGGGCGAGATCGTTGGCACATGTGGCATGCGTGTACCTTAGCCTCAATATCTTTATCTAAAGCAGGCCACCACAAGTGGCTGCGTGCAAGAGCCTTCATACGAACAATGCCAGGATGACCCTCGTGGAGGGATTCTAAGACCCTAGTCCTCATTGAGGTGGGAATGACAACTCTGTTTCCCCAAAGCAAACAACCCTGAGAAAGGGACAATTCGTTCCTTTTGGACCAGAAACTCTGAAACTCAGGACTAGGGCAGTGCTCAGGCCACCCGGACAGGACCCAGGAGCGGACACGTGAAAGTGTGTGATCTGTACCCGTTTCAGCGGTAACATCCCTGGCACTAAGAGGGAGCTCGGGCAAGGCTTGGATTGATAGAATGTTGACAGCTGGCGCGGGGTCAGCTTCTACTACTGGCAGAGGCAACCTACTGAGGCCATCAGCATGGCCCATTTCTTTCCCAGGCTTGTGGAGTAATGAAAAATCATATGCAGACAAAAAAATAGACCACCTAAGCATTCTAGGGGAAATGATGTGGGGAGTCTGCTTACGTGTGGTAAACAGTCCCAGCAGAGGCTTATGGTCAGTGAAGACCGTGAAATGCCTGCCATATAGAAAATCGTGGAATTTTTTAATTCCAGCAACAACAGCCAGAGCCTCCCTGTCTATCTGAGCGTAGTTGCGCTCGGCAAAGACAATGTTCTGGAGTAGTATGCAATAGGAACCTGAGTTCCATCAGACCTGAGGTGACTCAGGACAGCTCCACCCCGTAGGGGGATGCATCACAGCGATGCACACAGGAGAGACTCGTTGAAATGTGCAAGAACACTGTTAGAAGTGAGCAAGGCCTTGACTTCTTTAAAGCAAGCCTCATGTGCTTGTGACCACAGCCACACAGCTTGTTTGTCTAGTAGCCTGTGAAGAGGCTCAGCTACACTAGCTTTATGTGGAAGAAAAGAATTGTAGAAATTCAGGAGGCCTAAGAAGGCCTGAAGTTCGGCCTTAGACTTTGGCCTGGGTGCTTCTAAAATAGCAGTTAGTTTGGATTCAGCAGGATGAATCCCAGCAGCATCAATTTTGAATCCCAGAAATTCAGTAGAAGGCACCCCAATCTTGCATTTGTCTTTTCTGAGCTTAAGGCCTGATTTCCTGAATCTTAACAGGACAGCCCTAAGCCTTTCAGCTAGAATGTGTGTGGAGTCTCCTGCAATCAAGACATCGTCAAAGTAGGGGCAGACCCCTGGTATACCTCGTAGTGTGTTTTCCATTACGCTTTGGAAAATCCCAGGAGCGACATTCACTCCAAACTGCAGCCTTTTTACCTTAAAGGCTCCCCTGTGGGTCACAATAGTCTGAGCTATGGCAGCATCATTATCAACAGGCAGCTGTTGATATGCTTGAGCTAGGTCAAGCTTTGCAAAAACACGCCCCCCCTTGAGAGAGGCCAGGATGTGACTGACCACAGGAACAGGATAGGCATGTTGCTGCAATGCCTTATTGAGTGTGCATTTGTAATCAGCACAAATGCGAATGTCCCCATTTGCCTTTAGAGGCGTGACAATGGGGGTCTCCCATGGGCTGGAATCAACAGGTTCTAGGATTCCTTGTTGGATTAGTTTGTCTAATTCAGTGTCAATCTTACTTTTTAAAGCAAAAGGGACCCTTCTTGCTTTAATCCTAATGGGAGTGACAGTGGGGTCTAGCTTTAAGGACACAGGTGGTCCTTTGAATGTGCCCAGCTGGGGGCTGAAAACATCTGCAAATTCCTTGCAGACTTCCTGTAGGTCGAGTGTTTGTAAGCTGTTGAGTCCTGTGACGTGTATCCCCAGGGCCTCAAACCAATCGAGTCCTATGAGACTCGTTCTTTCACCCCCTACTACTAACAAGTCTAGTGGACCTTCAAAACTCTTGTATTGCACGTTAAGGGTGGCCTCCCCCTTAACACACACTCTTGAGTTCTGAAAATCAGTTAATACAATATCAGAAGGCCTTAACTTGGCCTTAGTCCCACTACTGGAACAAATCTTCCTAAATGTATGCAATGAAATGATGGAAAGGGCGGACCCTGTGTCTAGTTCCATAGATAATGGAACCCCTTGTAGCTTCACGTTGAGTGACAGCTTTTTCTTCATGGGCTTGTGTGTGCCTGTCCTACAAATGTTTCTACGCGAAGCGCAAAAACCTACCCTATTCTGGCTGGGGACTCTGGTACCCTTCAGGCGTTCTTCTTGAGGTTGTGCCTTTCGTCGGCCCAGACACACAGCTGCAATGTGCCCTTGTTTGCCGCATGCCCGGCAGGTAGCGGAGCGGAACTTGCAGTCGGTTCTCCTGTGGCGACCTCCACAGCCGATGCACTTGAGCGGAGCTGAAGAGCTTTCCTTCTGATTTTCTCCCTTCGCGGGGTGTAGACGGTCGACTTCTTCGTCCGGATCCTCCTCGGAGTTTCGTCGGACGTCTTCTTGGTGCACGGACGCACCCTCTGCACTGCTTCTGATCGGCCGCATGTTCTTGACGGCGCCGCCTGCTGCTTCTTCCGCGGTGGCTTCCCTTAAAGCGTCTTGGAAGGATAATTCTTCCTTAGCGAAAAGTCTCTGTTGTAGCTCTCGATGCCTCAACCCGCACACGAATCGGTCCCTCAGTCGTTCCTCGAGGTCCTTGAACTCGCAGGGCTTGGCGGCCTTCCGTAACGCGGCGATGTACTCCTTGGCTGACTCCCCGGACCGTTGATCCCTCTGCTCGAAGGTGTGGCGCCATGAGATAACGGACACCTTGGGGTGGAAGTGGTCCTTCAGCAGCTTCTTCAGGTCTGCGTAGCTTACAGACTCTACTGGAACAGGTGCTGCAAGGTTTTCTGCGATTTCGAAGGCGTCTTGGCCGCAAGCGCAAAGCAGGGTGGCAGCCTTCAAGCTATCTTCCCTCACTTGGTTTGCCTTGAAGTAGTTCTCCATTCTGGATACGTAGGACTCCCACCGCTCTGGATGTGAGACGTCGAATTCCGCAAGCCTTCCGATTTTCGCCATCTTCGGATCTTCAGGAGACGGGTCTATCAGCCAGCCTACCCCCGAATGCGCACTGGATTGGCGGGCAGCTGCTGAGTCAACACCGTTCCTCTTCCGCCGCTCAGGACTCCTTGGGTAAGCTTACACTTTTTCCTTTCCAGGTAGTGCAAGGCATCCCACCTTCGTCGCCAGTGTTGCGTCCTTGGCGGGAAAACAGACACGAGAAGCAGCTGGAGTTCTCAAGTTCTTTTATTCAGCGTTCAGCTTACAGGAAGATGGCTTCAGCTCAGCCCAAACGCCTCACAGCCTCTTATATAGGCAACTCCCGGGTAAATGGGTTACTTTTCCCGCGCCAGCACCCGCGCATGCGCACGGCGCTGGCGACAGCCTGTCTGGTCCCGGGCAGCTTTGCACCTGCCCGGGACTGCCTGCAAACGCCCGAGCCGTTTGCAAGGCTCGGGACATAACACCTGACTCAGCCTTCCATCCTTCCAAGGTTGATAGAATGAGGACCCAGACTCTTGGGGCAATATGCTGACATTGTAAATTGCCCAGAGAGTGCTGTAAAGCACTATGGGGTGGTATATAAATCTAAGTGCTATTGCTTTTACTATTTGGAATAATTTCAGCATTCAAGTAGCTTAAGGGACTTGCTGATGAAATTAGGATCCTCTTAAGAAGAGGTAGCCCTCCTGACAGACTTACTAGAAGAAGGGAGCAAACTGTTAGTAAGTCAACACTGAGGGAATCATTATGAGACTTTTAACAAAACAGGAATACACTTAATTGCCCTTGGCAAATCTCCAAAATCTATTCCATGGAAGTTTGGAAACAAAAGGACTAAAGATGATTGATTGATTGATTGATACTACCTGTGAGAGTTCTTCTTCTGGTCCGTGTTGATTCACAATCAGAAGTGCATGCTGTAAATTTAGACCAAGGAGTAAACATGCAGTCATCTTTGCAAGGCACTGAGCAATCCTGGACAAGGGAAGGCATCGGTCCTGCCCACTTCAAGCATTCACTGGCATCTACTGAATGATTATCTTCCAAGGTGCATGTCACAACTGCAGAAAATGAATGAATAAATACAGACAGAAATAAATGGAAACTCCTTGGAGGCACAGGATGAGTTTAGAATCCAAGATCTAGGTTAGGTGTGCCACCATCAAGTTTTCTTTTTTAAGCAAATGAGATGTTAATCAAAAATGAAGAACTCACATCAAGCTATTTTTGAATACAATAACTGTTAAATGGAATACTATACTGCCTTTTTTCAGAACTGTGTTTGTATTTCAAAGAAGATAATATTTCCTTTTTTTTTCTTTACACATTCCAATATTGCTTATTCAGATCTCTAAATGTTTTAAGACTTGCAGAAAATTCCAGAGTGAATATTTAAACCGGTTGCGACAATCATACTATGGTACTGTACTATAGAGGACACCAACAAAAAATAAAGAAGCAAAAAAAGAAAAGGTTTATTTATAAAGATCACTAAAGAATTAGAGCTAGGATTAAAACACAGAGAATGATTTCTTCATATAAATACAAGTTAAAACTTTTTCAGGAGGCTTTTCTCTTTTCTGGAGAAGTGCTTTATCTATTAGGGATGCACAATGGATTATCTATGCTAACATAAAACACTTAGAGGGAAGATTAAGAGTACAATCCTGCAAAGCAAAATCCTCCCCAGTGGACTATTCCCAGGCAAAACAGCAGAAAGAATGTTACAGTAATTAGGGAACCTTTAAGCAGCCAAAAATAGCAAACTCTATACATAAGAGGGAGATTTCTGCAGATGGACAGGAAAACAGGTAGTCTGTTGAGTAACTACAATTGTGATTGGCAACTTGGATCATTAAACAAAGTGCAACCTCCATTGTCCTTATCATCTCACTTTAGCTTTCCTTTGCTCTACAGATCTGCAAAGTTCATAAATGCATGAGTTGATCACAAAATTATCTTTTCATCCCCTTTGTAACCATGAAAGTCACTATATGAGGCAGTACACTACCTTCACTAAGTGTATCCATATCAAGTCATTGGATATGAGATGGGTGGCAAATACATTTCTAAATGAATGAATGAATGGTTATTTTTATTCTCTTCAGGACAAAAGTCACACACACACACACACGTATGTATGTATGTATGTATGTATGTATGATTTTATTGAGAATTTTACATAAGTAAAGCAGAAATATAAAGAAAAAGAACTAGAAGCAGCAAAGAGCAAAAGTAAAACAGAAACATAAAGAAGAATCAGCAAAAATAAGTGACCCAACTTTTTTTCCCAGCAATGTTTTATTTAATTAATTATTTCAAAAGCATTTCATTAACATGCCACAAAGAAGAGGGAGCCAAGCTATTCTCCAAAGCACCTGAAGGCAAGACAAGAAGAAATGGATGGAAATTAACCAGAGACAGAAACGACCTAGAACTAAGGAGAAATTTCCTGACAGTGAGAACAATTAATGGAACAACCTGCTTCCAGAAGCTGTGAATGCTCCAACACTGGAAGCTTGTCTGAAATGGTATAGGTTTCCTGCCTGAGCAGAGGGTTGGATTACCTCCAAGGTCCCTTCCATCATCATCATCTTCTTCTTCTTCTTCTTCTTCTTCTTCTTCTTCTTCTTCTTCTTCTTCTTCTTCTTCTTCTTCTTCTTCTTCTTCTTCTTCTTCTTCTTCTTCTTCTTCTTCTTCTTCTTCTTCTTCTTCTTCTTCTTCTTCTATCATCATCATTATTATTACATAACAATGCTTCAAATTAAACTGTCTCATTTAGTGAGATTGCATACTTAAGAACTGGAGGGCCTGGGAAGGGAGAAGCCTGCAGGATCTGGAGGGAACTGTTGGTGACTTCTGAGTACAATGCCCGGAATTGTGGAAGGATACAGCAAGCTCATAGCCTCAGATGAAGCCTATTTAAAGGACACTGGGTTTACCTAATGCACTTTCTTAAGCACATTTAAAGAATTTAGAATTTAAAGAATTTAAATTCTTTAAAATTCTTTAAATTCTAATTGAAAGAATTAGAAGAATTTAAAATGAAAAGAGATCTTCAAGCCACCTGGGCAAGTGTACTTTGAATCCATGGGAAGGATTATGGTAAAGAGAAAGAAATTAATGATAAGGACTTAAAAGCAAAAAGCTTGCTGGGAGTTTGGGTTAATTTAAAGTTTAAAAATGGAGTAAGGGGATAGTTTAATTTAGAGCATTGCTGCATTAACAAAGTATTTTGGAAGTAATTAAACAGGACAGAAGTTTTAAACACCCACTTAGGACTAATTAACTGATTTGAGATGGGGGATCAAAAATTGTGCATAGAACAGGTTACAGTTGAGTGACAAGGGTAGTGGACAGAAGCCCTTGACATGCAGGTCCTGTTTGTGATACTATCAGCCCTCCTATTAAATATACATAAACCAAATCTCAATAATCCACTAAGTCAAGGCTGAGTAATCTTGACAAAATCAAAAAAGTTGCCTTGTTATTGGAAGAGATTTATATTGTTATCTTAATAATATTTTTTTAAAAAAACTCTTAATAGCCACATCTGCCAGAAATACATCGTGCTCCTGATTGACTTATCCTTAGAAGATAGGAAAGAGGAGGATCAAGATAAGAAATTACATACAGACAGTCCCAATCCTAACAACAATAAAAGGAAGTTTTTAGGATTTATTATTACCAATATCATCTTTGTCACTCAGTTCTCCAAAAAGCATCATATCCCATCTAGCTAATAGAAGGCTGCCATTTCTGTGTGAAGAGGTAGAAAGTAGACGGAGAGTGCCTCAATGCCCAGAAGATCCTTTGGATTTGGTACAGCTGGTGACATCTAGTAGCAGCCTGGTGATGGGAAAGCAGGACTGATCCATGTCAGCTGAGTTCCATCAGGGGCGGATTTCAACTAGTAAGCTAGAATTAACCAAGCAAACTCTCAACAATTCAACAGCTCCTAATAATTTTTATTATTATTAAAGAAAAGGTTAATAAGCTAACAAAAGGATTACAGTGATAGATATGTCACTGAGAACAACTACCATGTTTCCCCTGAAAGTAAGACCTACCCCCAAAATAAGCCCTAGCTTGATTTTTTGGGGGGTGGGCCTAATATAAGCCCTAGTTTGGGGGAAAGGCATACATCTAAAAATCAAGCTAGGGCAAGGGTGGGGGTATGGAGCTGCCCCATGTGCCCCCACCTACTTATCTTGCTGCTAGGTCTCCCTTCGCCAGTCCACTTCTTCTGTGGCATCCCTAGGCCTGCATTTCTCAATCATAGGCCTTTCCAGAAGGCCACTGCAGCCAAGAACCGAGCTATGGATTCAATCCATTGCTGGGTTATCGGCTGCAGAGGCCTTCCAGAAAGGCCTGACTGTGAAATGCAGGCCCAAGCTCCATTCTCAGCTGCAGAATGAAGCTGCTCCTTCAGCTGCAGAAGAAGTAGGCCGGCTGGGCAGGGCTGTTGGTGCTGGAGGTGAGTGGAAAAGACACCCTCCCCCCAAAATAAGACCTGGTGTCTCTTTTGGAAGCAAAAAAAATAAGACTGGGTCTTATTTTGGGGAAAACACAGTATGCCATAGCACTTCTGTTGTTCTCTGTTGTTCTCTGCCCCCCGTTGTAGCAGGAGACCTAGTTTCTGTGTGTCCCTTCTTTCCGTAGCAGTGACACTGATTATCTTCTTGGTTTGTCTTGACAGTATGCAGTGGCTTACAACTTCTTGTAATCTAGCTCTTTCAATATCAGCCAACCATGCATGTCCTGCCCTTTCCTACACACCCGCTGTGCTTTTTTGGAAACTTTAATCCTGGATTGACTCAGGCAGTAAGTACTACCTGCCCTGTGAACTCAATTTCCTTTGAACTCAGATTTATTTATGATTGTATCTTTGCTTGCTGGATTTACAACTTGACTGACTGGCTCCACTTGAAGACAGGACACACAGCAGGTTTGCTCACCTCTTGGGCCAATAATAAAGTTTTACCTTCTGGCAGAATAATCCTACACATATAAGCTATTACTCTGGAAAAAAAACAGTATTAGCAGAGAAATTATTTCATGAGGCATAACATCATTTAGATGTACTCTGAGTTCAATTTCAACTGAGAATGTCCCTGTAAATTGACCAAGACACCACTTTGTCCTAGTATTTGAAAGCCATTTGACTTTGTAATTCCTGAAGAAGTGGGCAGGATCTTAAGACTACTAAACCGGTTATCTGCTGTTTAAATTCATATCCACCCTTGCCAGTTAACTCTGCAATGTGGATGGCATGTAGCTGCATCCATGTAATGATGGATTTATTTATTTAGAAAATTCATAAGGCCATCCATCTTACATATGAACCCTGGGAGGTTAAGAGTAAATAAAAAAAATATAAAACACTTCTAGAAATCCAACAGAATATAATTAATATAATCATAATACAATACCGTATATGCCGGCGTATAAGGCAACTTCCGCAAGCGTTAAAATCGGCGCCAAAGACGGGGGTCGTCTTATACGCTGAGTCGTCTTATACGCCGGAAATACTGGTAGTTTCCAGCGAATAAGATGACGTTCTAGGAATGCGACTCGGCGACAAAGACGGGCGTCGTCTTATACGCCGGGTCGCCTTGTACGCCGGCATATACGGTAACTTAAGCACTGCATAACAAATTCCATCACACAATTACTATATAATGCTCATATATTATTTTGATCCAGGACCTTAAAGAGGAAAGCTATGTCATCATGGCCTTCCAGAAGGACAGGAGAGTTAGGGGCCTCCAGACCTCAGGAGAGAGGCTGTTTCATAAAGCTGAATGAGGAGGTGGTGCTGCCTCTATAAGAAGCAATCATTGGACCCAACAGTGATGGATAATTTTTGTCCATTCTTCAATTTTTCCTTTTATACCAGGATCGCTTCTTCAGAGGGTCCTGGATAAAGCAGATTATTGGGACCCTTTCAGACTGTATGAAGACAGTATTGATCATGCTGGTTGATGATCTCTGGGGGAACCAGGACAGGATGGCAGAACATTTCTGGTCTTCTTTGATCTGTCAGTAGCTTTCAGTATCA